AATCCTTTTCAGGAGAGAGGGAATGATACGATACAACAAGCTAACTCTTCAACTTCCAATGATCCATTGCAAATCCCAACTGGACCAATCACAAAAGCAAGAGCTAAAAGAATTAAGGAAGCTTTGAGTGGGCTAGTGCAAGACACCTTGACAAAGCAAATGGCATTTGTTGGAGCATCAAATCTGGATAAAAATGCTGAGAACGTCACTAATGTCATTTGGGCTGAAAATGGAGCTACTGATCATACCTTGGGTTTGGAGACTTCAATTTAAGGAGCCTGGATCAAGTACAACACATGAAAAGACTCATTTGGGCCTAATTAATCATATTTTAGGCTTGATATGCTGATTATATTTCATTAAATACATTTGAGCGAAAATTCATAATTAGTTGGCTGATTTGACTTTTGAGTTTCCAAGTTACCTAAATCAAGTCCGTATGAATTTATTATATTTTGATTTTCTAGATTGCATTTAATGCTTTTTAGGTTAGATTTTTGAATGTATCCTCTATAAGATATTGTAACCCTCATTTTGGAGGAGATTTGGAATTTGAATGAAAAACTTGCATTTTGCAATTTCTGATTTGAGAGGGGTTTTCTCTAGGGTTTTTCATTGACCTAACAGACTTATCAAGGCTTGATCAACCTTGTGGCGTCTTTCAACACTTTGGGTCCTTGTTCTCCCGTGTTCAAGGGTTCAAGTGGATCACCAGACCTTTGTTTACGTTCTTGGGGTGCGTATATTCAGATTGGTTGTGGGTTCGTGGAATTTTTTCCTTGTGGGTTCTCACCACAAGCAAAAATTGTCCCTCTCATATTGAAGAACTTTCTGGTGTTTATCAAGGAAGATCAGGACAATTTTCACAAAGAAATCCTTATTCTAACACCTATAATGAGGGATGGAGGGATCATCAAAATTTTAGGTGGAGGGAAGGATCAGAGAAACCTCTAACAATGCAAAACAAGTTTCAAGACAACAGAGTGAATTCTGAACATACCAGAACTTTAGTACAGCATCAAGGTCCATCCTCCTCCAAAAATGACAATGGTATGGCTGAATTGATTCAATGTATGAAGGAAATGAAATCTGAGATAGCCAACAACAATTCTTTGACCAATTCTAGGATGAGTGCATTGGAGCAGAAGACTGAGTAGTGGGAAACTAAGTCTGCTAATCTGAATAATTTTGTCACTCAAATGTCTAATACACTTAACGATCTGTAAGCAAGAGGTGGAGGGTCTCTACCTTCAAATACAGTGATTAATCCAAAGTCATTGAATGCCATTTCTTTGAGGAGTGGAAGACAAGTTGGAAAACAAGTCAATTTTACTTTGGATGAGGATGATGAACAACTTAAAGAATTTGATAATATGCAGCAAAATGATGATTCTGTGGTGACCCCTCAAGTTCAATCTAAAAGCAAATGTGAGAAGAAATTATTGTCAACAAGGAAAAAAGAGAAAGAATCAATTTTCACACATGATGATAATGCAACCTAGGCTGCAAACTCTCAGCATTCTAGAATTAAGGAGTTACAGCAAGAAGTACCCAAAGTAGTCCCAACTCCTTCTGGTCAACAGAATGAGGAACTTCCAGAAATTCAGAAGCAATCAAGGAAGGGTAAGAGTGAGACAAAGATTTAAGAGCTTTCTTTTCCTAAATCATTTCTTCTTAGTAGGAAATTGTCTAATGAACAAGTTGAGAAAGATACTTTGAATCTATTTAGCAAGCTGGAAGTTAATGTACCCTTATTGGATTTCCTAAAAAGTATGCCTAAGTATGTGAGATTTTTGAAGAAGCTGTGTACTAACAAGAGGACATGCAAACCCAATGAATTGGTTCAAATACGCTCTTAAGTGTTTCAGCACTTTTAAAGACACATTTGCCAGGAAGTGTTTTGATCCAGGATCATTTACAATTCCATGCACGATTGGTAAATTGAATATAGCTAGTGCCCTCCTAGATTTGGGTGCTGCTATAAATGTTATGCCATTGTCTATCTATACATCTTTGGGCATTAATTCAATAAAAGACACTAGTATGATCATTCAGTTGGCCGATAGAAGCATTAGAAGACCTCATGGGCTATTGGAAGATATTCTGGTCAAGGTTAAGGACTTGATTTTTCTAGTAGATTTCTATGTCTTGGATATGTCCCATGAATCAACCATTGAGGGACCACTGATCTTAGGGAGACCATTCCTTCGAACTGCCAACACAGTGATTAGTATGAAAGATGGTTGTATCACAATGGAAGTGGGTGATCACATGATCAGTTTTAATGTTTATGAAGCTATGAAGCACCCATATGAAGATTACTCATTATTGGGCGTAAGTGCCATTGATGCTTTCATAGAAGACTCTGTAGCTGAATGTGAACCTTCCCTTCTCAACATGAACGAGTATGGTCTCACCACATTTGATTTAGATTTGCCAATAATGAATTCCTTCTTCTGCCCCAATGATTTTTCTGTTTGTGATGATGAGGTGTGTAGTATTGACTTTCATTCAGTTGATAGCTCACTTTCCACATTGCAAACATTTTCTTTTGAACTCTCTTCTTTTGATGATGATTTTGTTTCTGAAATCTCTAATAATGGGTTTGGGAAAGGTATACTTTCTAACTTTACAGAAGCTGAGAATATTGCAAAATCTGCATTAGATAGAGCTAGTACCAATATAGCAATGTTGGAAACATCAAGAATGCATATTGATGAAGAAAAGAAAGGAGATTTGGTCACTAGACAAGCTTATGCTAAGGAACAAAAATTCCATATTCCACCAGCTCACTGTTTTGAGAAATTAAAGTCGCAATCCGATTCAATTTTGGATAATTTATATCAGAATTCTCCTTATGATGCATTAATCAACACTGCAGATAACTTTAATTCTTCATATCCTTTTCAAATGTTAAAGCATATTCATGAATTTTTGTCCACGTTTTCTGCAGAAGCTAAACAATGTAGGAGAGAACTTCAATCATTGCAGCAAGTTACTTGTAATCAAGATCAAGCTAAAAAGTGTTCAGAAATAAAGAATCTGCACAAGAATTCAATGCTAAATTTATGAAATTCTTGCGTAATGTACATTATCATCTTGGTTGTTTACCCTCTGGTTGCTATTATGACAGGACACAAAATCCAGAATCAAGTGAGGACTTGCAGTGGCATTTTGTTAGAGCTTTGGAGCTTAAGGAGTTGGTTCCTTCTGTGGTGAAACCCCCTGAACTAGAACTTAAACCCCTACCCCCCCAATCTTAAATATGTATATCTTGCTGAAGATAATAAATTACCAGTGATTATAGCTACTTCACTCACTATTACAGAGGAGGAACAATTAATTGCTGTTTTGCAGAAACATAAAAAGGCAATAGGTTGGTCTATGGCAGACATACCTGGAATCAATCCTTCAATTTGTACTCACAGAATATTATTAAATGATGGGATGAAACCAATTAGACAACCTCAACATAGGCTTAACCCCTTGATTTTAGATGTTGTTAAAAAAGAGGTTACTAAGCTCCTGAGTGCAGGCATCAAATACCCCATCTCGGATAGTGAATGGGTCAGCCTTGTACAAGTGGTCCCTCAAAAAAGTGGCATTACTGTTATTAAAAATGAAAAAAATGAATTGATACCAACTAGGATACAGAATGCATGGCGTGTGTGCATTGACTATAGAAGACTAAATGATGCAACACGAAAGGACCATTTTTCATTACCCTTTGTGGATCAAATGATTGAGAGATTATTTGGTAGAACTAATTATTGTTTTCTTGATGGATTTTCAGGATATTTCCAAATACCGATTTCACCAGAGGATCAAGATAAGACTGCCTTTACTTTGTCCCTATAGAACTTTTGCTTATAGAAGAATGCCCTTTGGGCTATGTAATGCACCGGGAACATTTCAGAGGGCTATGATGGCTATATTTAGTGAGTTCCTAGGTTCATCTATGGAGGTATTCATGGATGATTTTACAGTGTATGAGGATAATTTTTCTGCTTGTCTAGAGAGTCTTGATAAAGTCTTGGCCAAGTGCATAGAGAAAAATTTGCTTTTGAATTTTGAAAAATGTCACTTTATGGTGGATCAAGGCATAGTACTAGGTCATTTAGTTTCTAGAAGGGGCATTGAGGTAGATAAAGCAAAAATAGAAGTCATTTCATCTCTGCCTTATCCTAAGACTTTAAAGGAACTAAGATCTTTTCTTGGCCATTGTGGTTTTTACAGAAGGTTTTTTAAAGATTTCAGCAAGATTGCTTCTCCTTTGTCTAAACTCATGCAAAAAGATGTTGATTTTCACTTTGATGAGGACTGCAAACATGCATTTGATACTTTAAAAGCAATGCTTGTCTCACCGCCGATACTCACTACACCAGATTGGAATTCACCATTTGAGCTAGCTTGTGATGCATCTCATACAGCAGTAGGTGCAATGTTGGGTCAAAAAGACGGTAAACTATCCAGGGTAATTGCATATGCATCCAAAATGTTGGATAGTGCCCAAATTAATTATACTACAACTGAAAAAGAATTGTTTGCAATTGTCTTTGCTTTGGACAAGTTTAGACCTTATCTTCTTAATTCTCATGTTATTGTTTATACTGACCATGTGCGGCTGTGAAATTTCTTTTTAAGAAAACAGATAGCAAGCCAAGGTTATTGAGATGGATTCTATTGCTACAAGCATTTGATTTGGAAATTCGAGACAGGAGTGGTGCTGAAAACTTTGTTGCAGACCATTTGAGTAGGCTACCTGAAGATACAAAGGGAGTTTCTGATTCTTTCTTAATCTGTGATGACTTCCCTACTTCTGTGTTAGTGCCTATGACTAAACATGAACCTTGGTATGCTAACATAGTGAATTACCTTGTTACAGATTTAATTCCACCTTCCCTTTCTTACGGAGATGTGTCCACCTATTCAGGCCCAAAAATTAAAGAGTGAAGCCAAATACTATTGTTGGGATCCACCTATTCTTTGGAGGCTGTGTAATGACCAGATTATACGGAGATGTGTCCCTAATGAAGAAGTCACTGGAATTTTGGATGCTCATTACTCTTGGGCATGTGGTGGACATTTTGGTGCTAAAAAGACTTCTAGGAAGATTTTGGAAGCAGGGTTCTACTGGCCAACACTCTTTAAAGATGCCTACAATTACTGCAAAGTGTGTGATAAGTGCCAGCGTTTTGGTGGAAATAGTAGAAGACATGAGATGCCTCAAGTTCCAATGCTTTTCTGTGAAATATTTGATGTGTGGGGGATATTTTATGGGGCCATTCCCTCCATCTTTTGGTTATCATTATATACTATTAGCTGTGGATTATGTTTCAAGATGGGTGGAAGCAATACCAACAAAAAAGGATGATGCAGCCACTGTTGCCAAGTTCATTAAGTCTCATATATTTTCCAGATTTAGTATTCCTAGAGCCATGGTTAGTGACAGAGGGACACGCTTTTGTAATAGGTTGTTGGATGGTCTTTTTGCTAAATATGGAGTAACTCACAAGATGTCCATAGCTTATCACCCTCAAACTAATGGCCAAACAGAAATTTTAAATAGGGAAATTAAACAGATTCTTGAAAAGATTGTGAGACCAACAAGGAGGGATTCGAGTGTTAAATTAGAAGAAGCTTTATGGGCATATAGGACAGCTTTCAAGACCCCAATTGGTATGTCTCCTTATAGGCTAGTATATGGAAAAGCATGCCACTTACCTGTAGAACTTGAACATAAAGCTTATTGGGCTGTAAAAATCTGCAATATGGACATGGAAGCTACTGTAATTGAAAGAAAAATGCAGATACAAGAGTTAGAAGAAATTAGACTTGAGGCATATGAGAATTCAAGGATGTATAAGGAAAAGACAAAGCTCATTCATGATAAAGGCATCTTAAGGAAACATTTTAAGGAGGGTGATCGTGTTCTCTTATTCAGGGCCAGATTCAAGTTTAAACAAGGGAAGCTCAATACAAGATGGGATGGTCCATATATAGTTACCAAAGTGCATGATTTTGGCATGTTGGAACTTCTGGATGAGCAAAATGGTTGCACATTGAAGGTCAATGGACATTTGCTTAAACTCTGATGCGATACAGCAAGCTAACTCCTCAACTTCCAATGATCCATTGCAAATCCCAACTGGACCAATCACAAGAGCAAGAGCTAAAAGAATTAAGGAAGCTTTGAGTGGGCTAGTGCAAGACACCTTGACAAAGCAAATGGCATTTATTGGAGTATCAAATCTGGATAAAAATGCTGAGGATGTCACTAATGTCATTTGGGCTGAAAATGGAGCTACTGATCATATCTTGGGCTTGGAGACTTCAATTTAAGGAGCTTGGATCAAGTACAACACATGAGAAGACTCATTTGGGCCTAATTAATCATATTTTGGGCTTGATATGCTGATTATATTTCATTAAATGCATTTGTGCGAAAATTCATAATTAGTTGGCAGATTTGACTTTTGAATTTCCAAGTTACCTAAATCAAGTCCTTATGAATTTATTATGTTTTGATTTTCTAGATTGCATTTAATGCTTTTTAGGTCAGATCTTGAATGTATCCTCTATAAGATATTGTAACCCTCATTTTGGGAGGAGATTTGGAATTTTGAATGAAAACTTGCATTTTGCAATTTCTGATTGAGAGGAGTTCTCTCTAGGGTTCTTCATTGAACTAACAGACTTATCAAGGCTTGATCAATCTTGTGGCGTCTTTCAACACTTCGGGTCCTTGTTCTTCCGTGTTCAAGGGTTCAAGTAGATCACCAGACCTTTGTTTACGTTCTTGGGGTGCGTATATTCAGATCGGTTGTGGGTTCGTGGGATTTTTCCCTTGTGGGTTCTCACCATCTTGGTATCAGAGCTTTGGATCTAAACTCAGGTCATATTTTTCTGTTAGTTTACCTTCATTTTCGTTCTTCATTTGGTGCCTTTTCTTGTGTCTGTTCGTCTTCTGCGTTTCTGTTCATCACCGAAATTGTCATCCTTGTCCATTCACTTTTCCGTTGAGTTTTGTGAAGTTTAATAGGTCATTTTCATAGTTCGGAATCCCTTCTTTCGTCTCGTTTTGGTTTCATCTAAATCCGACTTTTGTAGGGCAAGTTATACCCATTTGAAAAGGACGCGTTTTCTGGAATTTCTGGGTTCAGATTGCTTGTTCTGTTTTGTTTATGGTATTTTTGTGATTTTCCTTGCATTATTCAGTGAAAAAAAAAAGAAAAGAAAAGGGAAAGACAAGAAAAAAAAAAAGAAAAAAAAAAGGTACCCAAAAAGAAAGGGACAGAAAAAAAAAACGAAAAGAAATTATAGTGCTGGCAGTGTTTTGAGCAAATCATCTTCATATCCAAATTCTATTTTGGCTTTTGCAATACTTGTGTCAATTGAGTTTCTGACTTTTCTTGAAGGTCCATATTCAATACTCTTAATTTCTCAAAGTTCCTAAGTGTTGGCTGATTCTGCATATTGTGATTGCTTTGTTTAAATTGTTTAGTTCTTTAAAGAGCCTCAAGAGGGATTTCAGAGTGGAAAAAGGCAAGAGTGATATACCTCAATTTAAAAGCCAAGTTGGAGTGAAACACGAGTGTTGAGTGTCATTCTTGAGGGAAACACGTGAGGAAATTTGTGAGGAACTTTACTTCACTAACATAATTAATTTTCCTTGAAGTCACAATGTCTAATGCAGATGGGACATCTGGTGGTAGTGGAAATCCAATGAATATTGAAGACACCCTTAGGGCAATGCAGCAACATTTTCAACGGATGAATGTGGTTTATGGAGAGATAAGGGATAGAATGGATAGACAAGATGAAAGGATTGTAAATCTGCAAAGAGCCCAACCTAAACCTAGAAGGCATGGAAGGCAAAGGGAGGTTTCTATGGATGACTTTGAATCTGAAAATAACAAAGTTGGTGGTAGTGAGGATGAAGTCAATTCTGAATCTGAAGTTGAACTGATAAGGAATAGGCATAGAGGGGATAGGTATGGGAGAAGATATGGGAGAAATAACCCAAGGGAGAGAGATAGAGTAGATGGGAACCTTGGGAGCATCAAAATGAAGATACCATCATTCCAAGGTAGAAATGATCCTGAAGCCTACTTAGAGTGGGAAAAGAAAATAGAAATGATCTTTGAGTGTCATAATTATTCTGAAGCTAAAAAGGTGAAGTTGGCAGCAATAGAATTCACTGATTATGCCATTGTTTGGTGGGATAAATTGGGTATTAATAGGAGGAATAATGGAGAGAGGCCTGTAACAACTTGGAGCGAAATGAAAGCTCTAATGAAGAAGAGATTTGTTCCCAACCATTATTTTAGAGAGCTTTATCAAAAGTTGCAGACCCTTACACAAGGTCCTAGGAGTGTAGAGGAGTACAATAAGGAGATGGAATTGGCCATGATAAGAGCTAATGTGCAAGAAGATAGAGAAGCAACAATGGCCCGATTTCTAAGTGGGTTGAACAAAGATATAGCTGATATAGTTGAATTGCATCATTATGTAGAACTAGAAGACATGGTGCATATGGCTATTAAGGTGGAAAAGCAACTCAAGCGAAAAGGTGCTTCAAAATTTCATTCTGGATCAACTTCTTCTTTCAAACAGAATTGGAAGAAAGGAGAAAAAGCTATCCAAAAGGAGACCACTAGAGGCAAAGAAGAAGCTTCATCAAAGAGCAAAGGTAAATCTGATTCCCAAACTTCTAGAAATAGGGATATAAAATGTTTCAAGTGTTTGGGTACAGGTCATATTGCTTCTCAATGCCCCAACAAGAGAGTTATGATTCTGAAAAATAATGAAGTTGTGACTGAAAGTGAGAGTGAAAGTGATGACTCCATGCCCCTACTTGAAGATGCTAGTGATGATGGGATTGAGTATGCTGTGGAAGGAGAATGCCTTGTGGTTAGAAGAGCCTTGAATTGTCAAGTGAAGGAAGATGAGTTGAATGAGCAAAGGGAAAATATTTTCCATACTCGCTGCCTCATTAATAACAAGGTATGTAGTTTGACAATTGATGGTGGCAGTGTTACAAATGTTGCAAGCACTACAATGGTTGAGAAATTACATTTGCCCACTGTTAGACACCCTAGACCATACAAGCTGCAATGGCTGAATGAATGTGGGGAGATTAAAGTTGATAAGCAAGTTCTTGTTTCTTTTTCAATTGGGAAGTATTGTGATGAAGTATTATGTGATGTTGTTCCTATGCATGCTGGACATATACTTTTGGGAAGACCTTGGGAATTTGATAGAAAGGTAAAGAAAGATGGGCTTACAAATAGATATTCTTTTGTAATGAACAACAGACCCATTACTCTTGTACCATTGACCCCAAAGCAAGTGTATGAGGATCAACTTAAGATGAAAAAAGAGAGAGATAAAAAAGAGAGTGATATGAAAAATGTGAGAGAGACATCAAAAAGAAATGGGAGTGAAAAGGAGAGAAAAGATGAGAGTTCAAAAAAAGAATTTCAGAAAAAAAATGAAGAGAGAAAAGAGAAAAAGAAATTGAGTTTTTATGCAAAAGAAAGTGAAGTGAGGAATGCCTTTTTGGCTGAACAACATTTGCTTCTCCTTGTTTACAAGGAATCCTTTTTGGATACTAATGACATTAACTCTTCCTTTCCAAGTGTTGTTAGTTCTTTATTGCAGGAATATGTTGATGTGTTCCCAGAGGAGATTCCACCTGGATTACCACCCATTAGAGGAATTGAGCATCAAATTGATTTCATTCCAGGAGCAACAATTCCTAATAGGCCAGCCTATAGAAGCAATCCAGAAGAGACAAAGGAACTTCAAAGGCAAGTGGAAGAGCTCATGGCAAGGGATATGTTAGAGAAAGCTTGAGTCCTTGTGCTGTTCCGGTACTTTTGGTCCCAAAGAAAGATGGAACTTGGAGGATGTGCATTGATTGCAGAGCTGTGAATAACATCACTATAAAGTATCGCCATCCCATTCCTAGATTAGATGATATGCTTGATGAATTGCATGGTTCTATTGTCTTTTCTAAGATTGATTTGAAATCTGGATACCATCAAATTAGAATGAGGGAAGGGGATGAATGGAAAACTGCTTTCAAAACAAAACATGGTTTGTATGAATGGTTAGTTATGCCATTTGGGTTAACTAATGCACCTAGTACTTTCATGAGATTAATGAATCATGTTTTGCGTGCTTTCATTGGGAAATTTGTTGTGGTTTATTTTGATGACATTCTGATTTACAGCAAGAATCTTGATGAGCATTTGAATCATTTGCATTGTGTGCTTGATGTTTTGAGAAAGGAAAAATTGTTTGCAAATATGAAGAAGTGTGATTTTTGTATGGATAAAATTGTTTTTCTTGGCTTTGTGGTGAGTGCTAAAGGAATAGAAGTTGATGAAGAAAAGATAAGAGCTATTAAAGAATGGCCAACACCTAAAAGCATAACTGAGGTGAGAAGCTTTCATGGTTTGGCTAGTTTTTATAGGCGCTTTGTCAAAGATTTTAGCACACTTGCTGCACCACTCACTGAAGTTATTAAAAAGTCTGTTGTTTTAAATGGGATAAAGAACAAGATGTTGCATTCATTAGGCTTAAGGATAAATTGTGTTCTGCACCTGTATTAGTATTGCCTAACTTTAACAAAACTTTTGAGATTGAATGTGATGCATCTGGAGTTGGAATAGGAGCTGTTTTGATGCAGGAAGGAAAGCCAATTGCTTATTTTAGTGAAAAGTTGAATGGAGCAGCCTTGAAGTATCCAACATATGACAAGGAGCTCTATGCACTTAAAAGAGCATTAGAGAATTGGCAACACTACCTTTGGCCTAAACAATTTGTAATTCATACTGATCATCAATCTTTGAAGCACATTAAGGGTCAAGGTAAGCTGAACAAGAGACATGCAAGGTGGCTGGAATTTATTGAGACATTTCCGTATGTCATCAGATACAAGAAAGGTAAAGAAAATGTGGTGGCTGATGCATTGTCAAGAAGGTATACTCTTCTTACTACTCTAAATGCTAGGTTGCTTGGTTTTGAATATATCAAGGAATTGTATGCCATTGATGCTGATTTTGCTGAAGTGTTTCTTGCTTGTGAA